CAGTAAGTTGTATTGGACTTTAGGCCTTAGATTCTTTAGCTGAGTGCTAATCAATTCATGATTAGTGACTAAATTACCCGAGGCCAGAAAAGGATCACTACAAAGCAGTAGACAGAACAGTCCCTGTTTTACAGGGCCATATATACCTTGTGTTTCCACTTGCTAAAGTAGAAACAGTGCCTCAATAATGGCGTCAAATTAGCCCTGGTCTAAAGGATTTACCTAAAAAGCATAAAAGCAAGCCTCCGAAGGATTAAGTTGTCCAAGTCACTTATTTCTAAAACAAAGCTCAAAATTAAAGAACATTTTTAAAAATTCCAGCAAGAAATGCAAAATTTAAAACATTTGGCATCGATCATAAGTTATCAGGTATACAAAGCACAGAATACAATGCATATTGAGGAGAATAACCAGTCACTAGAAATAGGCCTAGAAATGACACAGATGATAAAATTAGTAGACAAGGACATTGTAATAGTTGTAGCTATTTCCTATGTTAAAAGCTACTTTAAAGACTGAGCATATTAAATAGAGACATGGGCCCTGGTTGGTGTGGCTCAATTGGGTGGATTGTTGTCTCATGCACAGAAGGGTCACGGGTTTGATTTCTGGTTAGGGCACATACCTGGGTTGTGGGTTTGGGGGTGTGTATGGGAGGCAACTGATCAATGTTTCTGCCTTTCTGTTTCCCTCTTTCCCTCTTCCTCTCTCTAAAAATCAATAAAAACATATTGGGTGAGGATTAAAAAAATAGAGACACAGAAGATAAAAACAACGATCCAATTAAAACTTCTAAAGATGAAAATTATAATTTCTGAAGTGAAAAATATAGTAGACAGGATTAGCAGTAGATAGGCATTGCAGAAGAAAAAAAATCATGAACTTGAAGACATAGCAATAGAAACACCCAAAATAAAACATAAGAAAAAAATCATAAATATAAATATACTGTGATAAATGAATGATGAATGAGCAGTGGGACAACATTAGGCATTCAAGAATACAGGTAATTGGAGTCTCAGGAGTGTGGGTGTGGGGATAGAAAAAGTTTGGCTCAGTGAATAGCAGTGCATAGAGCGTCGGCCTGTGGACTGAAGGGTACTGGGTTCAGTTCTGGTCAAGGGTACGTACCTTGGTTGTGGCTCGATTCAGGCCCCACTGGGAGGCCTAGGCCTGGGAGGCCGGGAGGCAAGCAATCAATGTGTCTCTCTCACATCAATTTTCTCTGTCTCTCCCCCTCCCTTCCACTCTCTCTAAAAATAGATGGGGGGAAAAAATATCCTCAGGTGAGGATTAACAAACTAATAAGCAAAAAATAAGATACGGAAATCTGGGCACACAAAGGGACACCAGGGGCATGCTTGCAAAGAAGAAGGACAGTGAAAAGGTTGCCACAGCAAGCCAAGGAGAAAGGCCTCAGGAGAAACCAAACCTATGGATGCTTTGATGTTAGACTTCTAGCCTCCAGAACTGTTGAGAAAATGAACATTTAAGCCAGTGGTTCTCAACCTTCTGGCCCTTTAAAGCAGTTCCTCATGTTGTGACCCAACCATAAAATTATTTTCGTTGCTACTTCATAACTGTAATGTTGCTACTGTTAAGAATCGTAATGTAAATATCTGATATGCAGGATGGTCTTAGGCGACCCCTGTGAAAGGGTCGTTCGACTGCCAAAGGGGTCATGACCCACAGGTTGAGAACCGCTGAAAGCGATAAAAAGAAAGAAAGTCCTTTGAAGGAAGGGGAACCTGGCTTCTTTACTGCCTATATGTGTGGCCTGGGGCATGTTAGTCAACTTCCTGAGGCTCAGTTCACTGTCTCTAAATTGGAGATAAGAACAGTGTCTACAGTGAGGTTAGGATTAAATCAGACATATCTTTTTAAGTGTGAAGTAGAATGCCTAGCATATATGCAATTATTTAACATTAATGATCAATTTTACTATTGTTACTTGTATAATTTTTTTAAAGTTTCTACATGCATTTGGCTTAATCTTTTATGAAATATAAATTAGGCTTACCTGCATTCTGACATAAGTAATGGCAGGTTGAAAACAAATAGAGAACTGCAACACTATACATTAAAAACCAACCCATCTGCTTCATGTAGTTTCATCTGTGTCACACTTCCATTGACACTGGGATTTACTGGGCTTTAGTTGCTTTATTCAGCATTTATATTTAAGAAATATCCATAAATCTGTAACATTTTGAATGATTTGAGATAATTTATTTATATCTAAAAAGTTTAAAAACTGTATTAATAATATATAAGAAGTTTAATTAATCATTGACTAACTCATCTAACAAATATTTTTGAGAAGTTCCCTTAAGCAAGGCAGTGTGCTAGGCACTCTTTTTTTTGGTATGAAGTTATCTCATAAGGTCTCTATAAAACGCTTTTCTATGTTGGTGACACAACTAACAACTTATTCACATATACCAAGGCTTCACCTTTTTAAAATTTCTGGTGTTTTGAGGATGGGTAAACTGAAGGTTCGTGCTGTATAAGTAAATTTGTAGAACATCAATTGGCCATGGGAAATTAAAAAGAAAAGAGTTATGCATGCTGAGGGTTATCTTTTAAAAGATAATACTTGTTGTCCGGCCAGAGTGGCTCGGTTGGTTACAGTATCATCCTGTGCACTGAAAGGCTGCTGGTTCAATTCCCAGTCAGGGCAAATGCCTGGGCTATGGGTCTGATCCCTGGTCGGGGGTATGAAGGAAGCAGCAGATCAATGTTATGCTCTTGCTTTGATGTTTCTCTCCCTCTTCCTCTCCCTCCCACCCTCTCTCTCTCAAAATTAATTATATATATATATTACTCTAGAATAGAAATGTAATGGGGAGATGATAATGCAGTTTTTCTAGCAGATACCCTTCGTCCAGCTGATTTATGTTTCTTCTCTCTCTCTCTCTCTCTCTCTCTCTCTCTCTCTCTCTCTCTCCCCCTCCCTCCCTCCCTCCCTCCCTCCTTCCCTCTTTCTTTCTCTTAGCATGTCCTCTGGTTAGGTTTGGGAAAAAAAAGATCATATTTGTTGATAATTTCTAAAAGTTAATTATCTACCTCCTTCATGAGGAATGTGAAAATATGGACTTTATCCATTAAAAACTGAACATTTAAATCTGTGTTAATACATACATGATTGAGCTTAAATACATTTCCTTTTTATATATTTCTCTCCACACTCTCTACTGCTTATATAAATGACTTCTAGTATCAATGAACATGTGAAAAATTCGCATTACATGTTTAATAAGGTACATCTAAATATAAAATGAAAATCTAAATGATGAAAATCTAAATATAAATTTTCTTATCCTACTGATATACTAAAAACATTATGTCTTGGAAACAACTGCTACAAGGCAAGAGTTTAGAACAGCAAAACAGGCTTACATTTTAAAACATAGTTAATAAAAGATATCCTTCAGGCAAATTCTGACTTTCAGAGTCAGGTAAGAGAAAGTATAGCTGCTGATATAACAAAAAACAGTCTTTCTGGATAGTAAAATTACTTCTTTAAAAAGGTAAACAGCCCTAGCCGGTTTGGCTCAGTGGATAGAGCGTCGGCCTGTGGACTGAAGGGTCCCCGGTTCGATTCTGGTCAAGGGCACATGCCTGGGTTGCGGGCTCAATCCCTAGTGGGGGGCATGCAGAAGGCAGTCAATCAATGATTCGTTCTCATCATTGATGTTTCTGTCTCTCCCTCTCCCTTCCTCTCTGAAATCAATTTAAAAAATAAAATAAAATAAAAAAATAAATAAAAAGGTAAACAAACAATATCTATTATATAAATTCAACTTTGGGAAACAGTGCATTTAATCTTCAAACTTTTTATGAGATTCCTTTGAGAATGTTAAACATTAAAACAACCTAATAAATTATATATAAGAAAACATGTGCAACAATAAGTTAGATTCTCATGTAGATTAGGATATAAGATAATAAATGTAATAATTACATTTACAATGGCTACTAAGTTGTTAAGATTATTTGGTTGTTTATTTTACTAATAATCTGAAAGGCAAGGTGGTTCAGCTAGGATAAGAAGACCACCACAAGGAGGGACCATTCCTGTGGGGAGACCCAGGAAGATGTGAAGATGACACACTGAATGCCGACATGCCAATCCAAGCACTCCAACCCCTGCAGAGACACACCCAGCCTGCTCTCATTCTCGGAAGTTGGTGCAGGGAATGGCACATCTGTAACCATGCAGAACCACAAACCTCATAATCTTCATAAACAATCTCATACTAAATCCTACTGTAGGAGTTAAACCATGGTTTTCAGAATTGGGCCAGTGTTCTTAGCTGTGAGAGTAGGTTGAGGAACTAAAGAAAAAGCCAACTGTTTTGGTAAGACCCTAAATCTAGAGAATAGTATCAGCAACCCTATATGATAGTGTATTTATTCTGGTTAACAGTGGTGAAAAGGTAAACTAACAAAAGTAATGGCTCATTTTTATATTTCTGTAATACAATTTAAAAAAAATGATTATAGTAGACAGCACTAAGCATCATAGAAAATCATAGATTCCACAATAAGTATGTCTAATTGCCAAAATTAGTAAATAATTTACAGGAATCTTACACACAATAGAACAGTTTTAACTGGACTTTTATGGTTTACCTGTTTTAATTCTGAAAGTATACCTTGTGGAGAAAAACGTCATTGGGTTGGTCTAAAACCTTTTAAGGGTTCATTCACATCTCCATAGTTTTGCAATAATGTTCCAAAGCAGCTACCAGTACTTGGTGAGATAAATGCACGTGTGGGGCTTCATGTCAAGCAACAGTTTATCTGGCATCAGTAATCAAACAATTACGAAATGGAAAGTACATCTTGTACAAGCTGACAGATCCATTAAATCAGGAGAGCTATGGGCAGACATACTGACACTGCAAGAATTACCAGAAAGCATTAATTTCAGCATTAATAAAATGACAGTAAATAGATGACAGCTGCCAGATGAACTAAGAAATAAGGTTGCTGGCCTTGTTAAGCTCACGTCTGATTTTCTCAGGCACAAACTGGTCGAGGTAGCGTCTGAAGTGAAGGGCATCGATGGCGACAATTTCAGTGCTGCGCCGCTGCCAGTCGTCCCTGGGCAGGAAAGAGGGGGAAAGATGAGGGACAGCGAAAAGCACTCACAAAGAAAAACCCTCACAGGTTTCCTGAGGCACTGGCAGGGTTAAAATATTAAAAACAAAACCATGTCATAGATCTCAGAAAAACAGGAAGGCAGAAAACACTATTTTATTTTAGACTCCAAGGTACACATTGTGGACTGTCAGGCATTATACAGCACATAAAAAATTATGGAGAGACAAAAAATATGATATGTTATAAACGGGTACATCATTTACAGTGAGTCTCAGAGGTTAAAGGATTTGGGGGAAAACAAAAAAACCTTAGGTCTTTGTTTTCCTCTAATATTAAAGATATGGCATTTGTATTTTGACAAGAACTCATTCCTCCTCTGTTTTGAAAGATCTCCTCTAGGTCACTGGGTCTGTAACATCACCATACATCACCCAAGAAATAATCCCAAGAAGTCAAGTGTTACAACATGTGTAACGATTCAGTACAACATTCTACCTACTGTGCTCAATCGCTGACTGTGGAAATATTTTTTAAAAAGACAAAAACAGCAAAGCAGACAATAACACAAAGCAGCACAAATAACACGTTGCCTGTAGAAATATGAAGGAAGCGCTGAGATGATTCTGAAACATAAAATTCCAAATATTTCATCTCATAAATTTGCACATATTGATATGCCAAGCAACTTTCCACTCTGAAGAACAGCAATAAAAACCTTCATGTTAGTCTGTAAGTAACTATCATAAGTTAAGCATCCACTTAGATAACTACTGCAACCACATGGTTTAAACAAAACAAAGGGAGAGGCCAGGGGCTGGCCTGAGATGACGAAGACTAAATCTGCACTGCTGCAGGGGCCGTGACTGCAGGGGCCGTAGCTGGTGATTTCTGCCACTTGGCTTTTTTTTCTTCCCTTAATTCTTTCTCCTTTTTCACCCAGTCCCACAATGCTTTTCTCTTCTGACAGCTGTCAGCTTGTTCTCCATCTATGAGTCTGTTTCTATTTTGTTTGTTAGTTTATTTTGTTCATTAGATTCCACATGAGTGAGATAATTGTCTTTCTCTGACTGGCTTATTTCACTTTGCATTAATACTCTCCAGGTCCATCTATGCTCTCACAAAGGGTAAGCTTTCCTTCTTTTTTAAGGTCCAGTAGTATTCCATTGTGTAAATGTACCACAGCTTTTTATCCACTCATCTACTGACACTTGCATGGTTCCATATCTTGGTACTGTAATGCTGCAACAAACATAAGGTTGCATATATTCTTTTGAATTAGTGATTCAGGTTTCTTAGGATATATTCCTAGAAGTGGAATCTCTGGGTCAAAAGGCAGTTCCATTTTTAATTTTTTGAGGAAACTCCATACTGCTTTCCACACTGGCTGCTCCAATTTGCATTCCCACCAATCCCTTTTTCCCACATCCTTGCCAGCACTTGGTTGTTGATATACTGATGTCAGCCATTCTGACAGGTGTGAGGCGATATCTCATTGTGGTTTTAATTTGCATTTCTCTGATGTTTAGTGGTGTTGAGCATCTTTTCATATGTCTATTGGCCATCTGTATGTCTTCTTTGGAGATGTATCTATTCAGATCATTTGCTCATTTTTTATTTGGGCTGTTTGGTGTTTGTTTTGGCGTTGGGTTGTAGGAATTCTTTATAAATTTTGGGTATTAATCCCTTATCAGATGTATCATTGGGGAATATGTTCTCCCATTCAGTGGTTTGTCTTTTCATTTTGTTGATGGTTTCCTTTGCTGTGCAAAACCTTTTTAGTTTGATGTAGTCTCATTTGTTTATTTTTCCATTTGTTTCCCTTGCCCAAGGAGACATATTAGAAAAAATATTGCTATGAGAAATGTATAAGATTTTACTCCCTGTTTTCTTCTAGGAGTTTTATGATTTTCGGTCTAACATTTAAGTCTTTAATCCATTTGAGTTTATTCTCATGTATGATGTAAAAAGGTGGTCTAGGTTCATTTTTTTACATGTATCTGTCCAATTTCCCCAACACCATTTATTGAATAGACTATCTTAATCTGACTGTATGTTTTTGCCTCCTGTGTCATAATTGTGCATAAAATGGGCTTATTTCTAGCCTCTCTGTTCTGTTCCATTGACCTATATGCCTGTTTTTATGCCAGTAACACGCTGTTGTGATTACTATAGCCTTGTTATATAGTTTGGTATCAGGTAGCCTGATATGTCCAATTTTGTTCTTCTGTCACAGGTTGCTGTGGCTAATCGAGATCTTGTATGTTACCATATACATTTTTGGAATATTTGTTCTAGTTCTGTGAAATATGCTATTGGTATCTTCTTAGAAATTGCACTGAAATCTATGGATTGCTTTTGGTAGTACAGGCATTTTAATGATGTTAATTCTGCCTATCCAAATGAACATGGTATATGCTTCTACTTATATCTATCTTCATCAATATCTTTCATTAGTGTCTTATAATTTTCCAAGTACAGGTCTTTTACAGCATTGGTTAAACTTATTACTAGGTTTTTTTTACTTTTCTTGATGCAATTGTAAATGGGACTGTTTTCTTAGTTTCCCATTATGATAGTTCATTATCCTATATAGTAAAAGCCTAATATGCTAAGTGTCCAGTCGTCCAATCAACCAATCAAAGCATAATATGCTAATGATATGCTAAGGCCACTCAACTGCTCGCTATGACGTGCACTGACCACCAAGGGGCAGACAGTCAAACAGTCGATCAGGTGCTATGATGTGCACTGATCGCAGGGGGCAGACGCTCCGACCAGTAGGTTAGCTTGCTGCTGGGTTCCAGCTGATAGGGACTGAGTGAGATGAGCCAGACATGCCCTGAGGCCCTCCAGCAGTCCTTCCCAGGCTGGCCAACCTCCTGCATCTCTCACCAGCCCCGATCATGCACTGGTGGGGTCCCATGGCCTGGCCTGCGCTCTCTCGCAAGCTGGGCTGAGTGACCCCTCCCGCCCCCCCCCCCCCCGAGTGCATGAATTTCGTGCAGCGGGCCTCTAGTTGGTATATAAAAATGCAACTGAATTCTGGTATTTGTTCTGTATCCTGCTACTTCACTGAATTCATTTATCAGTTCTAGTAGTTTTTTGTGTGGAATCTTTAGGGTTCTCTATATACAGTATTATGTCATCTGCAAATAATGGCAGTTTTACTTCTTCCTTTCCAATTTGAATGCCTTTTATTTCTTCTTCTTGTCTGACTGCTGCGGCTAGGACTTTCAGTACTATGTTGAATAAAAGTGATAAAAGCAGACATCCTTTGTCATGTTTGCAATCCTAAGGGAAATGTTTATAGTTTTTACCCACTGAGTATGATGTTGGCTGTGGGATTGTCATATATGGCCTTTATTATGTTCCCTCTATTCTGCCTTTGCTGAGAGTTTTTAACATAAATTGGTGCCAGATTTTACCAAATGCCTTTTCTGTATCTATTGGTATGATTATGTGGTTTTTATCCATTTTATGTATATGGTGTATCCCATTTATTGATTTGTGAATATTGTACAACCTGGATCCCTGGAATAAATCCCGCTTGATCATGCTGTATGATCTTTTTAATGTATTGCTGGATACGGTATGCTAGTATTTTGTTGAGGATTTTACCAACTATGTTCACCAGGGATACTGGCCTACAATGTTCTTTCTTTGTGGCACCTTTATCTGGTTTTGGAATTAGGATAATGCTGGCATTATAAAATGACTTTGGAAGTCTTCCCTCGTCTTGAGTTTTTTAGAATAGTTTGAGAAGACTAGGTGTTAATTCTTCTTTGAATGTATGGTAAAATTCACCCGTGAAGCCATCTGGTCCAGTACTTCTGCTTGTTGGGAGTTTTTTTAATTATTGTTTCAATTTCATTAGTTGTAATCTGTCTTTGTTCAGACTCTCTGATTCTTCCTGATTCAGTTTGGAAGATTGTATGTTTCTAGGAATTTACTTTTTGCCCAGATTGTCCAATTTGTTGGCATATGGTTGTTTATAATATTTTCTTAATAATCCTTTCTATTTCTTTGGTGTCAGTTGTTACTTCTTCTCTTTGATTTCTGATTTTATTTATTTTGATCCTCTCTCTTTTTTTCTTGATGAGTCTGGTTAAAGGTTTGTCAATCTTGTTTATCTTTTCAAAAAAACAGGTGTTGGTTTTATTCATCTTTTGAATTTCATTTTAGATTCTATTTTATTTCTACTCTGCTCTTCATTATTTCCTTTCTTCTATTCACTTTGGGCTTTGTTTGCTGCTCTTTTTCTAGTTCTTCTAAGTATAAAGTTAGAATGTTTATTTAGTGATTTTTCTTATTTCTTGAGGTAGGCCTGTAGTGCTATGAATTTCCCTCTTAGGACTGCTTTTTCTGTGTCCCATAGATTTTGGGTTGCTGTGTTCTCATTTTTATTTGTGTCAAGGTCTCTTCTGATTTCTTTCTTGATCTCACTGTTAACCCATTCATTGTTTAGTAACATGCTAGTTAGAGTCAATATCTTTGTGTGTTTTTCAGGTTTTTTTTCCCTTTTGATTTATTTCTAGTTTCAAAACCATTCTGGTCAAAGAAGATACTTGATATGATTTTAATTTTCTAAATGTATTGAGACTTATTTTGTGTCCTAACATGTGGTCTATCCTAGAAATGTTCCATATGCATTAAAAAAAAAAAGTATATTCTGCAGCTTTGGAGTGCAATGCTCTGAAGATACCAATTAAATCCTTGTGATCCAGTGTATCATTTAAGGCTACCACTTCCTTGTTGATTTTCTGTTGGGAAGATCTATCCATTGACGTCAATGGGTGTTAAAATCCCTTACTATGACTGTATTACAGCTAATCTCTTCCATGATGTATGTCCATCTAGTTTGCTTTACAGATTTAGGTGCTCCTATGTTGAGTGCATAAATGTTTACAAGGGTTATATCCTCTTGTTGGATTGCTCCCTTTATCATTATGTAGTGTCCTTCTTTGTCTCTTATTATATACTTTGTTTTAAAGTCTATTTTGTCAGGTATAAGTATTGCTACCCCTGTTTTTCTTTCCTTTCCATTTGCATGAAATATCTTCTTCCATCCCTTTGCTTACAGTCTGTGTGTATCTTTTGTTCTGAGGCGAGTCTCCTGTATATAATATGTATGTGGTTCTTGTTTTCTTATCCATTCAGCCACCCTTTAATTGGAGCAGTTAAGCCCACACTGGCTCTTCTTCATTAGAACACACATACACACACAAGCATCCAGGTTCCAGTTGCATAAAAATTCACCTCTGTTAAATCAATTTATTGGGGAAGCAACATCATGTAAAAATATATTTCAATAAAAAATAGAAGATAGCAGCAGCAAAGTTCACTGTAATTTCTGCTGTCAATTGTTTGTAGCAGTAGGCAAATTGTCTGAAAAATAGATTGCTTCACCTACCTAGCCTCCCAGAAAACATAAGGATAACTACTTATGCTGTTTAAGGGTTTTAAGCTATAAATATAACCAATTCTAAATAAGTCTGGCCTTGGAAGTTAACCTCTATTGACTGCTTACAATTGGTAGCTAAGATGCAAGGACTGTAAAGAGCTCTGGTTGTCCTGTTCTTGATTTAGACTTTTGGCTTTCATTTCTTTTTGATATATGGTAATACTGTTTTAACTACTAATGAAGCTGTAATACTAAATTTTAGAAGAAAGTTAAATTTCTGAAATAAGAATAGGTGGCAGACAGAATATACGAGGCCACATTCTTTAGCTTCTGGCCATGCGATAATCAAGTCAGAAATGAACTCACCTTTCATTTCCATCTTCATGGCTCCGGGCCCAGCGATAAGTTTCAGCATAGCCTGTGTATTCACTGTACTGTTCAGTACCTGAAAAAAAGAAGCTTCCAATATTATTTTTCAGAAATATTTTCTTAAAAGCTTCACCTTCTAAAAAAAAAAAGCCAACAATAAAAAATCACTGGTCTTAAAATGATTTATTATTTTTCATGAAGAAATAATAGAATGCCTCCAAAAATCACTACAATGTTTATCATACAGTGACTAAATGTCTCAACCAATACAGTAAACAAAACATGTTTTCAAATTTATTTCCTTCTTCTAAGAGGAGTGCATAAAGACTGTGTTTTATACAAGTCCACTGTTTTGAATGTCAGTAATCTGATGATAATACTTACTTCGTATTGTTGAGAAAAGAAATTTTACATAAAGACATTCCCTGCTTCCTCAACAAAATCCTAGCAAATCGGATCCAGCAATATATCAGAAAGATCATACACCATGACCAAGTAGGATTTATCCCAGGGATGCAAGGATGGTACAATATCCGAAAATCAATAAACGTAATACATCACATAAACAAATTGAGAGAGAAAAAAAACACATAGTCATATCAATCGATGCAGAAAAAGCATTTGACAAAATCTGACACCCATTTTTGATAAAAACTCTCAGCAAGGTGGGAATAGAAGGATCATACCTCAACATAATAAAAGCCATATATGACAAACCCACAGCCAACATCATACTCAATGGGCAAAAACTAAAACCATTTCCCTTAAGAACAGGAACAAGACAGGGATGCCCACTCTCACCACTCCTGTTTGACATAGTACTGGAAGTATTAGCCATTGCGATTAGACAAGAAGAAGAAATAAAAGGCATCCAAATTGGAAAAGAAGAAGTAAAACAGTCCTTATTCGCAGATGACATGATATTGTACATAAAAAACCCTAAGGACTCAATCAAAAAACTATTAGACTTAATAAATGAATTCGGCAATGTAGCAGGATACAAAATTAACACCAAGAAATCTATGGCATTTCTATACACCAATAGTGAACTTACAGAAAGAGAGACTAAAAAAGCAATCCCATTTACCATCACACCAAAAAAATTAAGATACCTAGGAATAAACTTAACTAAAGAGGTAAAAGACCTATACTCAGAAAACTACAGGACTTTGAAAAAACTGATAGAGGAAGACATAAACAGATGGAAGAGCATACCATGTTCTTGGATTGGTAGAATCAAAATCATTAAAATGTTCATACTACCCAAAGCAATCTATAAATTCAACGCACTTCCCATTAAAATACCAACAGCATATTTCACAGACCTAGAACGAACTCTCCAAATTCATCTGGAATAAAAAAAGACCCCGAATAACTGCAGCGATCCTGAGAAAGAACAAAGTAGGTGGGACCTCAATACCAGATATCAAGGTGTATTACAAAGCCACTGTTCTCAAAACTGCCTGGTACTGGCACAAGAACAGACATATAGATCAATGGAATAGAATAGAGAGCCCAGAAATTGGCCTGAACCAATATGCTCAATTAATATTTGACAAAGAAGGCAAGAACATACAATGGAGTCAAAATAGTCTCTTCAATAAATGGTGTTGGAAAAATTGGACAGATGCGTGCAAAAAAATGAAACCAGACCACCAACTTACACCATACACAAAAATAAACTCAAAATGGATAAAGGACTTAAATGTAAGATGGGAAACCATAAAAATACTAGAAGAATCCAAAGGCAACAAAATCTCAGACATATGCCGAAGCAATTTCTTCACTGATACAGCTCCTTGGGCATTGGAAACTAAAGAGAAAATAAACAAATGGGACTACATCAAAATAAAAAGCTTCTGCAACAGCAAAAGAAGCCATCAACAAAACAACAAGAAAGCCCACTGCATGGGAGAACATATTTGCCAATGTTATCACTGATAAGGGTTTAATCTCCAACATTTATAGGGAACTCATACAACTTAACAAAAGGAAGATAAACAATCCAATCAAAAAATGGGCAAAGGACCTAAATAGACACTTTTCAAAAGAGGACATTCAGAAAGCCAAGAGACATATGAAAACATGCTCAAAGTCACTAATCATCCGAGAGATACAAATCAAAACAACAATGAGGTATCATCTCACACCTGTCAGAATAGCTATCATCAACAAATCAACAAACGACAAGTGCTGGAGAGGATGCGGAGAAAAGGGAACACTCGTGCACTGCTGGTGGGAATGCAGACTGGTGCAGCCACTATGGAAGACAGTATGGAGTTTCCTCAAAAAGTTAAAAATGGAACTCTTATTTAACCCAGTGATCCCACTTCTAGGAATATATCCCAAGAAAACAGAAACACCAATCAGAAAGGATATATGCACCCCTATGTTAATAGCAGCACAATTTACCATAGCTAAGATTTGGAAATAGTCTAAGTGCCCATCAGCAGATGAATGGATTAGAAAACTGTGGTACATCTACATGATGGAATACTATGCTGCTGTAAAAAAGAAGGAATTCTGCCCTAACCAGTTTGGCTCAGAGGATAGAGCATCGGCTTGCGGACTCAAGGGTCCCAGGTTCGATTCTGGTCAAGGGCATGTACCTTGGTTGCGGGCACATCCCCAGTGGGGAGTGTGCAGGAGGCAGCTGATCGATGTTTCTCTCTCATTGATGTTTCTAACTCTCTATCCCTCTCCCTTCCTCTCTGTAAAAAATCAATAAAGTAAAATATATTTTTTTTAAAAAAAGAAGGAATTCTTACCATTTGCAACACCATGGATGGAACTGGAGAGCATTATGCTAAGTGAAATAAGCCAGTCAATGAAAGAAAATTACCACATGATCTCACTCATTTATGGATAATAAAGACCATTATAAACTGATGAACAAAAATAGATACAGAGGCAGAGCAGCATCGAACAGACTGTCAAACTACATCGGGAAGGCCGAGGAGGGTTGGGGGGCGGTGGCGGGGGGTGGGGGGTGGGTAAGAGATCAACCGAAGGACTTGTATGCATGCATATAAGCATAACCAATGGACACAAAACACTGGGGGGTAGGGGAGGCCTGGGGATTGTCAAGGGGGCAGGGGAAAAAAGGAGACATATGTAATACTCTTTGTAATGCTTTAAGCAATAAAATAAAAATTAAAATAAAAAGACATTCCCTGCTAAAACAAATGTCATTATAATTAAATCTAGGCCCTAGCTGGTTTGGCTCAGTGGATAGAGCATTTGCCTGCAGACTGAAGGGTCCCGGGTTTGATTTCTAGTCTGGGCACATGCCCAGTTGTGGGCTTGATCTCCAGTAGGGGGAGTTCAGGAGGCAGCCGATCAATGATTCTCTCTCAACATTGATGTTTCTATTTCTCCCTCTCCCTTCCTCTCTGAAATCAATAAAAATATACTAAAAAACTTAAATCTAGAATTTGCCAATCAATAGGCAAGGTACTTCAAAAAAGCCTTGTAAAACTAGAATATAATGGCCTGAGAAGAAAGGAAAGAGGAAAAGTATAATTAATATTAATCTGATGAGGACATGCATCAAACTTGCCACATAACATAGATTTCTAATTCATCGTACCTGAATATATCAGGATAAATGGTGTCAGATTGTTCCACTATTTAACTAAATAAAATTATTCCAATTCTTATGGTCAACTCAATAATCACTTGACTTTTCAAGAATTAAAAAAACAACAACAGTAAAAATGAAAAGCTGAAAACCCTGGGCAAGATAATACTTTGAAATATAAAAAAGAAAAATAAAGAAGAAGAAACAATTTCTGATCTTCAAAAGTTACTGTTACAATAATGAAAAGAAACCACATATACCTGATAAAGGACATGTAGATACATATATACATAAATACCAGTATGTATATATGTATATAGATAGCACTTTTAAAACTTAATAAAAAACTCAAAACATGGACAAAAGATTATTTCATGTGTATAGCTGTATGTTAAAACTTACCTAATTTTACACTTCAAAATATATAGTTTAGTGTATGTCAATTATACTTCAATAAAGCAGTTTAAAAATGTAATCTAACTCCCTCACTAGACTGTCGGCTTCTTGAGGGTAGGGATTATAAATTATTAACATTTGTGTCTACATTAACATCTAGTAACACAAGAATATAGAGGTAGATGATTAAGTACTTTCCATAGAAACATGATAATTAATGAGAAAAACAGGAAAATATTGTATTAACTGAGGTTAAAATAATGAATCCAGAAATACTTAATTCACATTTACACAATGTGTGGCAGGCTAAAAAGAGTACCACACTGAGATTAAGAGATATGAGGAACCCAAAGTGAATCCTTAAGTGACCAAATCTCATTAGACTTCATTTTGTCATCTAAAAATCAGACTTGTTAATAATTCCTGTTTGCCTGATAGAATTGCTTGGAAAACCAAATGAGATTAAAATACTTCAAAACCATAAAGGAGTTAGTACTGGTGTCTAGACTTAACTTTGTAAGGGGGTAGAGAAATCAAAGATACATGATTCCAGGTATGTGGGGTTTGAAAGCAACCTGGTCTACTGGCCCGGCTAGGAATAAGACAGCAGAACAGTTGTGTTCTTGTCTATTTTCTGCCCTGCAATGGCCGTGCCTTATTTTTCAAACAAACAAGTCTACTCTGATCTCTTAACTATGGAAACAAATAACTGTTCTGTCTTTTGAAAAGTGGTTGAAAATTTTATATCAATTATATTTCTATTTCAAGTTAGATCGGTTTCAGTCTTCTTTCCTAAGACAAACAAGGTTAGATTCATTTCCTTCGGTAATGGGAAGTTATAAAATCACATGTAGATGCTTTTACTCTAAACAAATTAAATCCTGGGTTTTCTAAATAGACTCTTTCAAAATTATGTAAACTATTCTGAAAAATGAATACCTATAAGTTGTTTTAGAATAAAATTTATTGATAAACTATGATAAAAATACAAAGGTAAGCAGTGATAACAGCAAACAACAATCAGAAGACTGAATGAACTTTATGGCAAGCTCTCTCCACCTTCATTTAGGGAAATAGCTAGAAGGAACCCACTAAAATCT